TGTAACAAACACGAGTCTTTTCTTCTGGTTCTTTAGTAAAATCAGCGGTTTCTTTGCAGAGCATTAAGAAAACAATCAGACTTCGACAGCACGTCGTCTGATTGTTCGGTCCGATACAGGCAGCTCTAGTTGCTTTTGTATCTCGACTGATGATATCTAGGGATCCTTCTTGATGGATCTGACAATCATAGAATCCTCTCTAGAAGTGGTGGAACGTGGTCTTCCACCTTTGTTATCTGCTGCCAACTTCCCTGTAGAACGGTATTTGGAACATAGTCTTGATACGGTCCATTTTTTCACGCGATGTTTATCACAGATACTTCTTTGTGACATTCCACTTACGTAATTGCCAATAATTTTTTTTCTTAGTTCCAATCCAAGACTGTCGGGAGCCATTTTTGCACTTGAAGTCATAAAAATAATAAAAATAAATAATCATGGTTCTCAAAGCTCACCGTGTTACATTTACCTTGTGATGATACAATAATGGTCTGTGGAACACAACGTCTTGGTTGGATGTGGACTGTAATAATGTAATGAAACACTTATTGTATTTCACTTCTTGTATTGATATTCTTTGATAAAATACTTTGATAAAACTCACTTCGATAAGCTGTCTTGATAATACTGACTGATTGACTTCCATATACTGACTGATTGACTTCCATATACTGACTGAATTACATGTCGATTTACATGTTTCTTATATAGTAAAATGAACCTGTGTGAACCTGTTCTGGAATATTCTAGATGCTTCTTTTTGATGCTTCTGGAAGCTTCTGGATGCGTCTGGATGTTTCTGGATGCTTCCAGATGCTTCTTCTGGAAACTTCTGGAACCATCTGCATGCTTCTGGAAACTCCTGAAAACTTCTGGATACTTCCTTTAATTATTAAAAAACTTCTGTGACGTTGACATGGACCAGACTTAAGAAAATGAAACAAACCAAAAAAAATGCACTTGTTTTGTCAAATGCAAAATGGCACTTGTCAACGAAATTCTGCCTGTGTGCTGTCACCTGTCAGCTGATTACTAATGTCATGGCATGCTATGACTCCAGTTTCCTGAACTGTTTGCTGTGGTAGTATAGTTTGTTTTATTTTTAAGACATGTAAAATTAAGAACACTTTTTAGCATTGTTTGATGTTGGTTGCAAATGTTTTGTCCAATACTGTATATATTTATATATATATTAAAAATACCATCCCGCCTAGTGATTGTCATAAGGGTCTGCGTCTCAGAACGGTACAAGACGAAACGAAACAAAACGATGAAAAATATCGTTTCGATAAAACCGTTACGAAACGAAACAATTTTTATCTTTTTTACGGTACGAAAAGAAATACAATTTTCTGGTTTCGTGATAAATACGGGAAACATTTTTTGTTTTGAAAAAACCGGTACAAAACGGAGTAAGATTAAACTTTTTCCGAAATAAAACGGTAAAAAATAAAACAAACAAACAAGAAATTTCTGAGTTTTACGAGAAATACTAATGTTTTTACGACAGATAGGGCTAGCATAAAATAAAAAAGTAATTTACTTTTATATTGTACCAATTTAAGCACACATTTGCGATTTTTACGAAAAATCAGTTTTTATTTAGACAATTATATTTCACGGTTTTAAAATTTCACAATAAAAAGTAAAACATTTTTATTTTAATACTTGTTGAGTGTCACTTTTGGATGTTTTTTCGGATGATGTTGTTTTGGATTCTTCTGGAATTTCCATTGTTTTTCTTTTGATTCCTGAAGATGTTGGTGTTGATGGTAAAGAAGAAGAACATAATGGCGTTGTTGAAACGTTTTTTGTTTTGAACAATAACCTTTTTTGGTTATTTGAAAAAACTGCTTTAGGAATAGGATTTTTGGGAGGTGTTCTAACTGGAGTTAATGCTGCGGCGTCCAGGGCTTCTTCAGCGTCGCTTATAATTTTCAAGGTCATGTGAGGACAGACAAGATCATAATTGACTTTAATCAAAGTCAATTGCTTTGCTGTCTGAGTGGAAAGACTGTGTCTTTTATCATTTATAATTCCACCGCTGGCGCTGAACACTCTCTCACTACAGCTTGATGCAGCCGGAATGCAGAGCAAATTTCTTGCCAATTGTGCTAACAATGGCAAAGTAGAGGCATGTTTCTTCCACCATTTCAGCACATCAACTTTATGCTTTTCTTCAACACGAGGCATAGCGTGGAAAGATTCAAACTCCCTTTCAATTTCCGGTACATTTTGACTAATGCTGTGGTTATTATTACCCTGTTCAATCTCTATATTTTGTAAATCGTCGCACTCATCCGCACCAACTGGCATTTTAACTTGTGTAGCTTTATGATTATTTTTTTCACTGATCGAAACAGCGTCCGACGATGGATGATCGTTGATGACTTTTCTGGTGAACTCTTCGAAGATACCGTAATGTCTAAGCATATATCCTGAAATCATAAACAATAACTGTTAAATTTAGTCTTTTAACAAATAAAGAATATTATAGAAT